CAAACAGTCCAGAACGTTTCGGAACACGTTCCATATTAACTCTCTTCATTAATATTCTCTGTAATTATTGATGCGAATTACTGTCGCTCGATTATCGCCAGAGAAACGAACCAAAATTTCAATATCGAAATTTCGCACACTGTATAGTACGCATCGATCGCGTTAAATGTATTACTGCGAGAGCGGAGTGGTGAAAAACATGAGACTGAAATATCAAACGTATTTTACTACCAAGCGCAATTCACAAATAGAGAAATATTTACGTACACGATTGTCGGAGTGCAATGGTAGCACGCATTGAATATATTCGTGCTAAAAAAACTAACCATCTCTTAACTAAATTATCTCGCTCAGAGACGGAAAGAGCAGTTTCCGCTGCATTCGTTTGTTTTACAGTTGCAGATTAAAAGATTTTCACAAAAAATGCATCTTGTTGTGCGAATATACTGCAATTGTAATTTATTCTCGTACAAAAACTCCGTGTCTTATAAGTATATATAATTGTAACGAATATATACTATGATGATACCAAGCATATTTTGCAAAATCATGTAATTTAATGCTGAGCAGTAGTTTTTGACTATTTGCTGTGTACTTGCTGAAAACGTAACATAGTCATACATAGTCATACATAATCAACAACATAAACACAAATTTGAGACATCGTATCAGCAGATTCAGAGGAAACGGAGAGCAACTATTGCTCATTATGTTGTCAACAAAATGACTTCCATTCATGGAAAACTCTTCGCTTTGTCATTCATTTTCGATAACATAGAAGCAACATGACGGTAACAGAACAAGACACCGATGTCTGTACTTCTGTTGTATGGTTGTTACAAACTGTTGAAATATATTAATTCTATCTTATAGCCCATAAAATGGCGAAAACGAACGATCGTTTTTTACAGAAGAAACACACCTCCATCCTGCGACAGTAGTACGTGGGCACGTATGGCGCGTCAAAACAAACCCCCTCCACCTGGCCCCCCCACCACTTCTGGCGCCATTGCCCCACCACGGTGGATTTCCCCC